TGTTTACCGACTCCTGATATCTTCTCAGCACACGCGTCTGGAACAAGGTCCGAGAGAGAACAACTGCCTAATGCAAAAGTAATTAATTAATTAAAGTAGTCACCAAAGTTCATGCTCATTAATCCAGGTATGAATCCAACAATGTTCAGTTCAGTGTAATTAAAGTTTTTCTGTTTTCAGTTCCAGTGAACTACATCTCTCAAAAACTCTCCTTAGTTATTCAAGAGCTCCGATTTGTACCGCAGAGACATACTTCACAAAACCACTTCAAAAAATGGCTGTTTTAATTTCTGCTATGATGTCATAATATGCAAATCAACCACAAATCTAAATTGCTGCCAGTCAGAGAATTGATCTGTTACTAAATACCCCTGGATGAAAAGCTTGACGTTCAGGTGAACCTTATGTGGCAGAAGGTGGAGGGATGATCCTCCTCTCTGATCACAGCATCAGACCTGCAGCTCCTAACATCTTTAGTTCTTGCTACATAAACACTGAAGTCCTGAGCGCAGCTGCAGAATCCTCCCATCTGGACCGAGCCCATAAGAACCGGCTGACGCTCATTCGTTGTGTCCGTGCTCTGCTAGACGAGTGGATATCATACTCTGGGCCTGCTGTGCACTTTTTGATCAGTGATCTTTGTGTGTTTATGATGTGTGCGATACGAGCATGTGTCTGTGCATGTGTCTGTGCATGTGTGTGTGTGCGTGGGCCATTACATTGTTGATCCCTTCGAAGGTCAGAAAGCAATAAGTGAGAGGTCAGCTGTGGAGAAAATATCTCTCTCATCCCTATCAATCTAAAAGTCTGCGCGCGTGCGTGCGTGCGTGCGAGACAGAGAGGAAATGCACAGATCTGAAATGAAAGCAGTCAGTGTAGAAGTCTGTGTGTGCCTTTGAATCACAAAGTGAAACAGCAGAGACAGAAAATTAAATTAAATTTAAAAACCTGCAGAAACAACTAAAACTTCAAAACTAACATTTAAAATAAATAAAATACATTTTAGAAACAACAGCGAGAGCACGAATAGTTTGATGGGAGGAGAAGTTTTTGGAGGAACATCCTGAGGTTTAACTTTGTTTTACTCGCCACCAATTTATGGGCGACAGAGCCTCACCCCTCCGACCCCCCACCCCGTGTGATCGGGCTGGGGGCACCACTTAGAGCGGTCTGTCCCAGGCCATCTGTCTGCACTCGGATAGAAAGCGGCCAGGAGCCTAACAGGATGTGGGAGATGGAAACTGAGGAAAAAAGTTGGGCCAAGTGAATAAAAGTGGAGACGCAGCTGAAGCCTGAAGGACCTGACGTGATGAGCGGCCACACAAACGAGAAGGAGATGTCAGAGGAGAAGTGGTGACAGCGACAGGCAGTGGCAGAAACCTTGGCCTCCTCATTATCCTTCCCGCTCCTCCACCCGTCACACATTCATCCCAATAACGACCTCGTTTAAATGACTAATTCCACACGTATTGTAATTGCCAATGAGCGCGACATAATCCTTCTTTAATGAATATCACGGCAGCAGTTCATTAACTACTCAGGTTACCCCACTGAGCGCCCGCCGCCAATGACTTTGTGCCCCCCCCCCCCCCAAATGGAGACATTAATTGCAGACTGTTTGATGTGTGGATTATAGATGAGGGGAAGGAGATTATGAAACCATGAGGGAGAGCCGAACGCTTCCCTGATGGGTTGAAGGAGAGACGTGTTCCCAGGAGACAAGAGGGGAAGAGAAGCAGCACGCACACGCACGCACACACACACACACACACACACTTTTAATAATCCCTCGTTTGATTTATTAGATGTACTGAACATTAAAAGGTCCATTAACATAAAAAACTACAGTAATTGTTACTGGCCTGTGTTCATTTATCTGTTAGCAAAATATCTCTTATCCTCGTGCTGGTTGTAGAGCGCTCTTTGAACAGCCAGATGCTCTTAATCTGAATCGAGCCGTGTCTAGATATCAGATGCAAGACAGATTTATTTAAGACCTTTATAAAACAGGACAAACTGTCTTTCTCCTTTACAAAGAGGCACCATTTGTCCTGCAGGTCACCATCACTGCTCTTTCTAACAAAGCGATGCTTGCTCAGGGAGATGCTTTGCTTTCAGCAGAAGCTCAGCAAATCCACGGGGCAACCTGGAGGTGTCCAATAAGACAAGGAGAAGAGCATTTGTTCCACTTGTCAGGGACTGACAGGAACTCTGTGCTACGCCTGGAACGGCCTCAGCCCGCTGCAGCCGGAGAACTCAAATATCCTGAAGCCGGAGCTGCACAGAGACACCCCGCCCAAACAAACTTTCATCTGTGCGTCTCAACCCCGACAAGGAAGGGAGGGATGGAGGGATGCACACAGAGGTGAAGAGAGACATGCACGAGTCGTGCACATTTTACCAGCCGACGCTCGTCGGTCGTGTCTGTGCAGAAAAGAACGTGCTCGTTTCTGAGCAGCTGCAGCAGATGCTAAAACCTCCTTTAGAGTTTGACACGGGGCAGCACACAGAGGAGCAGTGGCTACACCTGAGGCCTCACAGCAACAACGCCACAGGTTTAACTCCTGGATGAGACGTTTCTGGGAAAAAAAAAGAGTGCACGTTCTACACATGCATGTGTGGCTTTCCTTGTGTGCTCCGTTTCCTCCCACAGTCCTAAAACACGCACGTTAGGTGAACTGGAAGTTATAAAGAGAACCAGGTGTTAGCTTGCAGCCCTGTGATGGACAGGTGACATGTCCACACTGGACAGATCACCTGTCCATCACAAGTCACCTGTCCAGGGTGTTCTCCGACTCTGAACCCCTTCACGGGGACAGAGGAAGCAGATGGATGACACACGTGCACGAGTGTTGGGTTATTTGGTGCAAGTTAGATCAAAGTCCGAGCTCGAAGTACCGACACTGTCCCAGTTCTCAGAACTTGTTGTTAGTTTTAAATGTCCAGAATTTATCTTGACAATGAATTTACTTTATGACATTTAGTTTTTAAAGGGTCTTGATGCATAAAGTGCAAAGAAAAGACACAATGGACACAAAGGGTCATGTGACCAATCGACCGTGTCTAATGGACATCAAACCTGCAGGATGTCGTCCTTCAGTCGTGGAACAAACAAACGTCTTCTTTCAGCTCTGGAGGTTCAGGGCGTCATAAAACTGATCAGGACTTCACCAGGTTCCAGAATAATTAGCGTAACCTCAAACAGCAGCAGGTTCCACCACGTCAAACAAAAATGACGCCAACATGTCGAAGCTGTTATTAGTGAAAAAGTTCATTTTCACAGGAATTCAGAGGTTCAGGATCAGCCAGGAGCTGCTGATCACATGTATTGATTGGCTGGTCCTCATCGGGGGGTCACCTCTAGAAAAGCAGGAGTTCTTGCTGCTCTGGAGCATACAGGTGTGAGTTAACACAACCCCAGGATGGAAAGACATCAGCAAGCCCATCAACCTGAGAAGGGTCAAAGGTCATTTCCAAAGAGTTTATGCTCCATCGTTCTGCAAAGAGAACATGTGGAAAACATTTGACAGCTGCAAATCTTCAGGCGTGGACTTCCCAGTAAATTCACCCCACAGGTCAGACCGTGCAGTCCATAAAGAAATGAGCTCCAGCTCAGACTCTACAGGCCTCATTAAGTAGGTTAAAGGTCAAAGGTCATGGCTTGTTTGGTTGGGTTGCAGCTTCTTCTCTGTAAAAATGGCAGCACCACTGAGGTTTGGAGCATTTCATCTGAGGGAACCACAAGACTTCTGGACCAGAACTAGAACAAAGCACAGATGTTTACCCAGAATGCACTGCAGCAAACAGCTCCTCCCAGCTGTCAGCATGGTGGTGGAGGGCTGATGGTTTGGGCTCCTTCAGTAACTGAGTGGACCAGAACTCTTCTGTAGGCCAAAGGGTTCTGGAGCCAGACGAGTCCATCTGTCCAACAGCTTGGACCAAACTGGGTCCAACAGAACCACGACCCCAAAGAGCAGCTGATCTACAACAGAACGGGTCAAAAACTAAAGAACCTGCTGCAGAGGAACCTCATGGACTGGTCGGACAGAAGTGTGGGTCCACATCAGCCGTCCTACAGAAAACCAGCGAGTGCTGCTGGAGGAGCTTCTCCAAACCTCTGGATAAGAACCAGTTCTTCCTCACAGCTTTAACTTCTTGTTTGGACCTAACTAGTGCTGACTCGGCACAATCTGTTGAGTTTTTGTTCATTAGATTGAAATAATTGTGGAAGCTGTTAAAGATCGGTTTTATTACGTCCTAAATCCAGGAAGTAAACGTGAGGGAACACTCCCCAGGTCTGTGAGCACTTCAGGTTCTGCTGTGAAGGAGTCGTTTCTGCCGGGTCGAGCAGCCGGAGGGGACGTTTGGGCCGGCGATGATTGTTCCGCTCCGTTCAGAATACATTTTCAGATGCTTTGAAGAAAGCCAGAGAAGCAGGCGGGTTTACAAATTCCCTGCAGGGATTTGCAGATGAGCTCCGGGCAACAGAGTGCAAACGTTTGCACAGGTGTGTGTGTGTGTGTGTGTCTGTGGCTTAAGACAGCTATAATAGCTCTTCATTAGAAGTGGTTAAGAAGCAGGAAATGGCCACTTGGTGGAGGAGATAACGGTAAATGATATTGACCTTTTAGGGTGAGACTCTTTAAGGAGCGGGGCGTGCAAACAATGCAGATGGAGTTTTACTAAAACGCCCCTTCAGCACCAAATTAAGGATGTATGCAGATGATACAGCTTTGTCATGAAAATTTAAATACGTTCAGTTATTATTAACAGAGTGTTGGCAGAAAAAAAAAACTTTCAGAGCTAATGTGCAAACTGTAACAATGTATTCATTTTAAAGCATCAAATCATTTGTTCTTTACGTCGTGTGCACCTTTGAAACAATGGAAATACTCCAGTTCCCCACAGGAGTGAATGTGTAAACAGGACATCTCAACAGAAGTGAGGTCATAAGAAACCAGGTGTGTCTGAGACGAGCCAGGTGTGGAAGCTCTACTTACAGGTAATAAGAGTAGGAATAAGCATGTCTTCTGAAGCATGGTGAGGTGAGGCCGATGGTGACAACAGAGCAACACCCAGAAGAAGGACAAACACACTGGATTAGTTCATTCTTTGTGTGTGTGTGTGTGTGGGGGGGGGGGGGGGGCAGAAAATACTTCTAGTCTGGCACATTAAAAATAATTTTCATTCCAGTATTTCTAATCTTCATGCACCTGAACAAGCTGCTCCTCTGAGTGTCCTCGTATTTCTGAGACCTGGCGTCAGTAGTTCACAGATGCTGAGCGGCTCTGGTCACAGTTTAAATAAAGTCGCCTTCCTGTAGGTCTAGTTTTATCTTTACCGCTGATCAGCTGATCCTCGGATGATTAGAGAGGCAATTTTGAGCCTTATTAAACATCGTATTAGATTTTCATCATCAAATCTCTGGAAATATTTACTAACCTTGTGCGTGGAGCCTCAGTGGTTGAGTATAATGACGGAGGGGTAATAAGAAACTTTATGAGTTGTGAATTTTTCCTCTCGTGTTCATTAAGTGTAATTTATCCATCGTTGACTCTCCTGCTTCACACGATGTTTGGCTCTCTGTGAAACGGCTGAGGTTAGATGACGGATCGGCTTCATCTTAAATGATAAAATTACATCTCTGCAATAAAATAATGGAATCTGCAGTTTATTCAATGCAGATTTTATTTTGTATTTTTCACCCACTGAGCAGTAATGACGATATAAGCTGCACATTTTTCACAATTTATTAAAAATACTTTTGGATTTTGAGCAGTTTTAAAGTTTATAAACTGTTCCAAGGTTTAAGATTAATTTAAACATGGCTCTTCTTTTACAAACCTCATGTGTGAGCACAGAGCGCAGTAAGTTTTTAGATCCACTGAACCTGTAAAGCCAACTACAACACCTGGATGATAAAAAGACAAGCGTTGCCTCGACAACAGGCGGTCAGTAGAGAAACGATGGGATGAGGAGAGAAGAAGAAACGGAGGGAGATGAACGGAGCACAGATGAGATGAATCATGAGTTTGTTTCATGGCTGAACTCACGTTGCTTTAAACGGTTCCTTCAAACAAAACATATGACTTTATACGATTGAGCCTACAAACCTTTTTTTTTATATGACTTTATAGTTTTAGTTCTTGAACGAGCAGGAGAAGTGGTTTTCTCTTTATTTATAATACAAACAAATGAATAAAACATCAAAGTGAGGCAAAAGTTCAGTTGAGGTCCAGTTATTTTCCTCATTTTAAGGTGATCTATACGTCTGCACCCCACTTGACCAGTGTGTGTGTGCATGTGTGTGCGTGTGTGTGCATGTGTGTGCGTGTGTGCGCGTGTGTGTGTGTGTGTGTGTGTGGGTGTGTGTGTGAGAGATACTGTCCACCCTGCAGCATCTCTTTAATGGCTTGTTGGCAACTTCTCCCTCTACCACAAACCCTTCATCTGGAGAGATTCCAAAGATTGGAATCTCTTAATATCTAAGAACACACACACATACACACACGCACGCACACACAGAGCAGGTTTAAAGAGGATCAATATTTGTGTTCCTGTTTTAAAGAGGCAGCAAGTCGACAGATTGCCTCTGCTGCTTTATCTGTGAAAATTAAAGAAAAATAACTTGAACATTTAAACATGAAATAAAATGTTAACGGTATAAAAAAGCTGACATGTAAATTTCTGAACACACACACAAACACACACACAGTTAAGCACAGTTATGCATTTTCACACTCACATCAGCAACACACCGCTCACAGAACCATAACCCTCAGCCAGATCCTTGCAAAGTGCGGCTATAGATACCAGTTCTAAAGTGGAACAATCATCAGTTACCTCCTCTACATGGATGACATGAAGCTGTATGCCAAAAATAAAAAATAAAAATCGGTGAGACATTGTCTAACTGATCCTCCTCACCAGGATATACGGTGATTCGGATTGGATAAATGCAGTCAAAGGGTATGCAAGAGAGGCAAGATGATCACACCTGAAGGGGTTGAACTACTTGAAAGCAACATTGCAGATGTCCAGGACCAGGACAGCTACAGATATCTTGGAATCCCACAAATGGAAATCACAATGAGGCCACAAGAAAGTCAGCCACAACTAAGTACCTACTGAGAGTATGCAGTACCATCATCAGATACCCAGCTGGTATAATAACCTGGCCAAAGGAGCCAATAATGTTGGCTCAGACATATATATATATATATTTTTTTTTGTGCTGAAACATTTCAGAAAAAGAAACTGCCCAGAAGACCTGACTGAAAAATGTGGGCTTGTATACCTGGATTATTGAGCATGGACTTTGTTGTTTTCAACCAGTTTGACACAACTGTCAACAAGGAAGAGGGCTGGCAATGGAGGAGGGGGTGTACCAAAGAGACCATCTTATCACAAGCAAAACTGGTTTGTTCAACGTTGGAGTAAGCTGTTGAGGGAAGAATCAGTTTTGTTGTTTGTTTCCTGGACTGATGAAGCCTTCTGGATTGAAGGCGAAACGTTTCAGCACAACCAAAAAAATTAAACTGTCCAGATGACCTGACTGAAAAATGTTGGATTGTATACCTGGATTACTGAGCGTGGACTTTGTTGTTAATAAATGTAGGACTTTTAAAACTGCAAGAAGCTTCATCGTCCTATGGAGAAGACCATGCCACTGTTGCAGGATCAATTAACTTTTGACTTATCATAAGTGATCGATTAATTTACTTATGAGATGGAAAAACTACACAACTTTAGATTCAAAGATCAGTTCAAACATACAAGAAACACATAAATGTGTAACTTATTCTGAAAAACCTGAACCGTTCAGCATTAGAAAATAATAATAATAATAATAATAATAATTTGGTTTTGATGTTCAAGGAACAAGCCAAGAACCACCAAGGCTGAAAGCTGCCATGACCTGGGATTTGCTAGACCAGCAGAGTCCCTATCCACCAGTGAAACCAGTTTGACATCACTGAGAGGACCAAGGAAGAAGCTCCTGCTTCAAAATTCAGAATCGGAACCTGTAGGTGTCCACGAGGACAAGACAAAAGTCTGTTTAGACAAAACAAGACAAGAAGGATGTTTGGACAAGTTGAGGTGACGCGTTCAGGCCTCACAACATGGTAACAAGTCTCAGGCATGGTGGTGGAAGCATCATGCAGTGGTACTGGAACTTCTTCTTCATTTAAATCCAGACAGTTGAACTCGGACACAGTTGGGTCCAACAGGAAACTGATCCCAACCAATCATGAGAACTGGTTTCTGATTGGATAATCAGGTGAACATTTAGCTTCTGGAAGAGTTTCTTTCAGCTGCTCCTTCTTCAGGGTCATCACAGTGAGGAACCCCCCACAAAATATTTGGCAATTGTTTTACACCAGATGCAACCGTCTTGACACAACCTGGGCTCGAACCTGCAACCTCAGGACTACAAGACCATGACGCAGACCACCAAGCTCAGAGAAAACCTGTGGCCTCTGAAACATGAAATCAACTATTTAAATGAACTTTAGAAGTTCTGCCAGACGAGGAACTCTGGTCAAATCAGCCAGAAGCTTGTCGATGGAGACAAAAAGCCTGAGGCCCAGGAGACACCTGCCAAGAGACTTTTATTTTTATATTTTATTATTTTATTTTAATATTTATTTTTATTAATTGTATGTATGGATGTAGTATGGATATTTTTGTTCCAGTAATTGAAATAGTTAATTAGAGAAAATCTACAATAAACTTAAACTTCAAACTTGGGGCAGCACAGTGGTTCATAGAGCTGCTGCCTCTCAGCGAGCAGGTCACCAGTTCAAATTCCGGCCCGGGGACTTTTCTGGGTGGAGTTTGCATGTTCTCTCCGTGCTGCGCGTGTTTCCTCCGGGTACTCCGGGTTCCTCCCACAGACCCAAAACACGCATGTTAGTCTGATTGGTAACTCTAAATTGTCCCTATGTGTCCCTGTGATGGACTGGAGACCTGTCCAGGGTGTCCCCGCCTCCCGCACAGTGACTGCTGGACATGGACACCAGTGATCCCCTGCGACCCAAAAAGGAAGAAGTGGGTAAAGATGATGGATGGATGGATGGATGGATGGATGGATGGATTCTAAATTCACTGAATCTGTATGTTGTACAGTTATTGTTTTGGAAAAGGAACCGAGATGAGTGGATGAAGGGTTTGACTCCCATGAATTCAGCTGTTAATGCCTGGCTCAATGAGCAGAGGGGCCAAAGAAAGTCTTTTAAACACCACGACATCCTGACTGCAGCTCGAGCGTGTTTCTCAGACCTGGTGATTTAAAGCTCGGTGGAAACATTTAGAGAACCCTTTGAAAACCATTAGACGAGCCAACACAACGACCTGAGACAACAAATGGAGCTGAACCAATTATTTGTCTCTAACTCGATGGAGTAAAAAGCTGCCGTGAAAACAGGGTCAAGTTTTCAGAAGCAGGTCAAGCGTTTTTGCTCGTGCACCGGTTTGCATGCGTGAACGTGCGCTGTGCGAAAGTTTGTGGGTCTTTGTGGGAGTGTAAACGGTCGGAGCCTTTTCAGTAGAGCTGTAAGTGGAGCATCGAGCGTTTATCTCAGCAAGCGGCAGAGCGCACGACTCATCCGTGTGTCACATCTACAGAGCGAGGGTCAGGCCCCGCTCGGCTGCTCGTGTGAGTGTCAGCGTTAACACCACACCACGCTGGTGAACACCACCCGTTAATCTATAAACAAGAACTAATCCAGAACAAAAGCACTCCAGACCTTCTAACGTCTGAGCCCTGAAACCGTTTGACGCCGTGTGTCAGTCAAACAGCCTCCACGCTGCCTGGCTTCTGGGCCGCTAGCAGAAGGTCCAGACTTTGGTTCCTGGGCAGACCGGATTTACCAGCTGCCTCTTTTGTCTCATGAGGATGTGGGAATTTAATCTCTTAATAAATCCAGAGATTAGAGAACTACCAAGGTTCAAAGGTTTCTATATACGGCGATGATGAAGTTCTATTTTTTGTTTGTAAAGTCTAAAGGAGTAAAACTTTTGCAGCCTCTTGTGGTGAAATACAGAGGTGTACGGGTGCAAAGTGGGATTAAATTAGAATACACAGGTGTAC